TGACAAATCTATTTTAAAACACGTGGCTGTAAAAATTTTATTGCATTTTTGATTGTGAATTTTTTCTCAAATCTGTCGCTGTGGCGCAGAAAGTTGTAGGGACTAGGTGTCCTGCATCATAGTAAATATATCATTTTTTTTAGTAATAATTTTTTTTTTACAGATGATATCCTTAACAATACTTTATATTTCATAAAAACCAATTTTCCTTGAAAAAAAAAAATTTTTTTTTATTTTTTCTATATGCTCTTTACATTGTCTACCAAATCGTCCCAGGGTAAATTTCATGATATAAAAAAGTCCACCAAATCGTCCCACTATATATAGTAGGACAAAATTACTATAGAAATAGTCAAATAACTGATCTATAAACGTAAATATATATATATATATACATACATATTTATAAAAATGAACCAAATTCAGTCTAAGTATTTTAAACATAACTGACAACTTCTAGATTCTTAATCCAATGGTTTTATTTTTTATTTTTAAATTAGAAGCAAATTATAAATGCAATCTGTGTCAACATTATGAAATTATATCTGGTTTTTGGAGTGTTACTATTACAAAAAATAGAAGAGGATGAAGAGGATGGATGAAATTTATTCTAGTTTATCATGAAGCTGTATTTGTTCAAAAATTTAACAAGTGTTGATAGGTGATATATATGAGTTTTTAAAGAATTAGCAAAGAAAATTTTAAATGAATGTTTGGGGTCAGAAGAATGTGCCATTAAATATTATTTATGAGAATAATAAAATTATTTTCTTACATATTGTATATGTACACGATCAGAAGGTAGAGGAGATGTAGAAGGAAATAAAAATTGTAGATGGTAGAGGAAAATAAGTTGAACATTATGTTTAAATAGATTTAGGTAACAATAATAATTTATAATATTCTTCTAATAAAAATTTTACACAATTTTTCATCAAATTATACTAATTATACTTAATGATTATTACTATAGGATAAAATACATAATTCTTGTTGATTAAAATTAGGGTCTTCCTTTATTATTATAATAAGAACTAACAAACTATGCTTCGCGTCACAAAACTATATGTCTTGTGTCACGAATTATGCTTTGAATCACGAATTATTATTATTCCCCGCGTCATGAATTATTGCTTTATAGTTATCCTAGTGAGTTTAGCTATTGCAGAAGGAATGTTATTGGGTCATGTGAGTTTATAGTTTGTGACACTAAAAATAGTGTGTCATTAATTTGAGATAATGAAAAATAATTTTGTTGTGCGACAAACAAAAATTAAAAATTTTTCTTTACATTAACAATGACTTTACCACTTGAACTTTTAACTGAAATATTTAAATACAATGATGATGATTATAAAACATTATATTCTTGCATTCTTGTCAATAAACAATGGCACAATCTCAATATTCCAATTTTATGGAAAAATCCATTTTATTCTAAAAACAGTCTCATAATAATAATTAATTGTTTGTCAGAAGAAGATAAGGATTTCTTAACAAGAAATAGCATTGAATTGGCTTTTAAGCTATTGAATAAGCCACCATTATATAATTATGCTAAATTTTGTACTATATTTTATTTCAATTATAGTTATATTCACTTGTTGAGAAACAATTCCAAATTAGAAATTTTAAAAAATAGACTAGCAAATTTTATTTTAGATTCAGCAGTTATTAGAAAAATTTGCATTTTTTATTGCAATACAACCTCTTATCTGGTAAACAATTTTAAATTTGATAATAGTTTTCAGAATCTTAATGAATTAATTTGTTATGGTAATGATCTTGCTAGTAATGAATTAATTGATAAGTTAGCAAATATTTGCAAACATATTCAATCATTAAGTATAAATGGTAGATACAACAATAAATTTGAAGATAGTCTGGCTCAACTAATCAAAGCACAAGATCAAATAAAGCAATTAACCATTTATTTTAGTTTAAACCTTAATTTATCAGATAATTTCAAAAAAGCAATTCTTACACATTCTCAATCAATAATTTATTATTCAAGTAATGGATTAAACAATTTAGATCATATATTATTACCAGCACTTAAAAATTTGAAGACTTTAAAATTAAAATTATATTCTGCCAATCCTCGTTATGGTGACAGAATAAAATGGTTGAGAAATATTTCACAGCCAAACATTGAATCTGTGATGTTAGACATTTATGGGCAACCATTTATATCAGCCCTGTCAGACTTTATTAGCATCAATGGAAAAACTATTAAATATCTGAACATTAATGGTAGTCCAAACAATATTGAATTTTTAGGAAAGCTATTTCAATCAATTGCACAATGGTGCAACAATCTAGTAGATTTATCAATATTTTATAATGATGAAGTAAACCAGGAGTTAACAAAAGTATTCAATAATTGTATTAAATTAGAAAGTATTACATTTAGATTTATTTTTATGGATACATTAGATGGTGATAAAATACTCTCAGTACTAAATCAAACATTACCAAAAAAATTAAAGTCAATAACACTTCCTTGTATGTTTTCTACTATCAATGTCAAGTCTTTTGATAATCTAACGAAAAATTGGAGTGGACCTAAACCATTTACAATAAAGTTTAATGATTTTTGTAAATTAATGGATTAACTAAATTATTTAAATTATTGTAAATTTTATTATTTGATTTTAATTGGTTTGGGAAAAAAAAATAAAATTTTTTTCTTTACATTAACAATGACTTTACCACTTGAACTTGAAGGTTTACGACCACCAATACTGCCTGGAATGCCTGATGATTATGCACAAATGATGCAGAGGTGTTGGGATGCGGATCCATCAAAAAGACCAACTAGTAGAGAGCTTTATGATTTCGCTGATAATAAACTAGATGATATTATTAAAAATGAAAGTTTGAAAAACAATAGTAAGAATAATAGTTTAATAAAAAGATTATTCAAGTTTCCTAAAATTAAAAATCATGATAGCAGCAGCGGTGGTGGTAATAATTCGCAACAAGTATACGAATCACATCCAGATGCATATCATACAAGTAGAATCTTGGATGAAGAGATTGCTAAATCAAAAAGCTTGAAAATTTATACAAGTAATGACAGTTCGTTAAACAATCTTGATTTTAACACTCTCCTATTAAATGCTGAAGGTGAATAAAAATTTCATTAATTAATTAGTTAATCGGAGATTACTATTCATTAATTATTACTAATAATATTTTTTATTATATTAGATTCTAATAATTAAAAGAAATCGATGAATGACTAATTTAATCTCCATTATAAATTATTCGTTATAATTATTTGTCTTTTTATTTTATTTCTTAAAGCTAAATTATTTTGAAAGAATAAATTTTTTGATTCTTGTTAAATTGTGGTATTGTATCATTTCAGTTGATTAACAATTATGGCTTAACTTTTGGCTACCCTTGTCAGTTAATTGCAAATAATTCGGTGCTTGTCAATTAATTAGTTTACAATTTACTTTGGTTTCCTCTTTCTTGCACTTAAACAAAACTATGGACACCTAGTTAAATAAATCAATATGGCCTTTTACAAAACTCGAGAGCTTCTATAAAGTTCCTTTTATTCACTTGTGATCGATTTATTCGTTTGCAT